TTTTGCATCTGTATTTTTTGAAAACACCTCACACTTCTGCAAAAAACATGAATTCATTTCTAAAAAAATACAGGTAAACTCACGGACCATATATCTCATGATAAAAAATAACCAAAAAAAAATCCTACTTTTCTTTATATATATATATTTTAATTTTCTTTAAATCCAATTTCGTTTTTGATTTTTAAAAAATCCTAAATAAAGTCGGATTCAAAACAAAAAAAAAAGGGGTCGAAAAGCTCAAAATTCCCTACAACCCCATATATATATATTTTTTTTCCTATTATTTAATTCAGGAAAATTCGTGTAAAATCGGGTCCGCGGTGCGGACCAGGTAGGCCACGGATGCGGACCCATTTGGGTCCGCGATCCGAGCTCGACCCCGTGGACGCGTCCGCGGGTGTTTCGTAGCTGCGACGACATCACTATTTTTGACGGTCTGCCTAGGCCGCCTGTCCCATACCAAGGGCTAGAGCAGAACAAATGGGAGGCTGTAGTTGGATTCGCTCGGACAATCAAGACTGACGGCAAGCTCAAAAAGAGCGTTAAGGATGAATAGGATGCGCGGATGAGTAAAGATACGACCATCCCTGAGTGCGAGCTAGAGGCCACGAGAGAGCGGTTTCTCGCGGGCAACCGGCCTTTGGATACGGAGTTAGCAAGAGTCTGAGACCGTTTGAGTTCCTTAGGGCGAGAGAAGTGATTCCGTACGCAGTAGTCACATACGAGTTAGTGGACAGCGGATGGGAGCAGATACGCCTTTACATTATCACCGTTCGGTTCTTTGTCGTGGAGGTGTATGATGTTAGGATTTACCTCCCAGTTGAGCGAGAACGCGATTTGGTTTACGGTCGATGATGGGAGCGTGCGGAAGAAGTCGTTGAGAATGAGCGGGATAGGCTCCTTGCGCTAGGTAAGGAGGTAATTTGGGACAACCAGATTACGCTCTTTCAGGGTTTACCCAGACCTCCTGTACCGCGTCAGGTGGTTCGAGGGAGAAGCAATGAGGCAGTGGTTGGCTTAGCGCTTCGATACTTTAAGTTAGATGGCCGTAGGGGGTGATTACCCGCGGGCAGGAGCTCGCGTTGTGCATCATGGGTTAAGCGATCTAGCGCGAAGAGCGTCTGTTGATATACGGGAGTACCTGAGATCTTGTGCACCGGAAGAGTTGAGAAGGATCGCGATAGGGATTTGTAGGAGAGTAAGGATATCAGAGTCCGGAGTTATAGAGATTAGGAAAGGTGTTCGTTGCATAGAAGAGCAGAAGGGAGAACTTTATTTAGACTCAAGGATTTTAGGTATCGAGGGTGAGCACGAGATACAAGACGAGGCAGGGAGACTTGTTGCAATCGTGAGAGCGGTCACAAACGAGTGACGGTTACTTTCATAGGTCCGGGCTGCTATACTTTCATAGGTCCGGGCTGTGGATATTTTCATAGGTCCAGGCAGCGAATTCTTTCATAGGTCCAGGCTGCGGATATTTTCATAGGTCCAGATTGCGGATATTTTCATAGGTCCAGACTGCGGATTCATTCATAAGTTCAGACAGTCGGTGCTGACCCACTAAATCAGAAGAGGGAAAGTATATGGAATCCGATATAATGGGGCCGCATCCGGACGAGGAGCGAGCGGTATATCGAGCATCGCCGGACCGTGCTCTACGAGATCTCAAAGAGCGTCTTCGACAGAACGCCCCTTTGAGGTGTGTAGAGCAGTCGGACGACGGCAAGCCCGAGGTAATGGCACCTCCTACCATTATCGAGCCCAACAGGGCTGCGCCGGTAAAGCGACCGGAGATACAGACCGAGCCCCTGAGTTTTCGATGCGAATCGTTTATTCAATGCCCGTCTATGTACGAGCGTAGAAGAGATAAAGCCTATCTAGGAGAGGAGGACTGGAGGAATCAATTTATCAAAGAGCAGCTTCGGAGAGATAGAGTGAGAGTTGCCGTGGCCAGACGGGTTTTTGATCCTGAGACAGGGGAATCGCACCCTCTGCCATATGAGGCGAGGGACAGAGTCATCATCTCGCATCAACCCTCAGAATAAGATTCCAGGCCTCCCGTTTTCTTGGGATGCGGTATCACAGAACACCTTGAGAAGTGGGAGTTGCATGCCTATCGAAGTCAGTGGACTGAGGGCGAGATTATAGATAACTTCTTGTTTAACGCTGATCCAAGTCTGAGCCGGGTTATAAAGGAAGCCCGACCAAAGGACAGGAGGGCGGGCTACGAATAAGATCAACCTTTATGAGCTTTTCAAGTTAGAAGACGTCAAGTATTCGATCTAGGATTTGAGGGCGTTAACCCCGATAGAGGGCGAGAGTGTCCAAGCATTTGGTATGCGTTTTCAGAAGGTGTCCGATGCCCTCATGACAAGGGGGAAGTTATCGGAAGTAGAGAGATGCACTATCTTTCTCAGTAAACTGCCAAGGGGGAAGCGGAAGGTGGTACTGAGGGAGACGCCTCTCGATAAGTTCGAATTCACGGCGTTGCTTAAGCTGGTCATGAAACCGGAAGCCGATGACTATAAGGATTCGCTCTGGAGAGGTATGCTGCGCGAGGATTATTCCTTTTACAAGGAGTATGGGACTGATAGATGCCCCGATTTCAATGACAAACCTTGGGCTGAACGACGATATTTGATGGACTGGGATAAATCTCATCGGTCAGGGGATAACGACGCAGTAATAGAGGAGATGCAAGAGAAGATGAAGGAAATGGCCAGGCAAATAGCAAATTTCGAAACAAAGGTCAGAACCACGTACCGGGACAAGCCTGGATCCCCCTACTCTCTGCGATGGGATCGTCGGAATACCGACCGGTGGAGGAGCGTCGAAGACCGTAACCCTCGCATGTTAGCTGATTATCGCGCGAGGGAAAGAGATGAAGATGAAAGGAGACGAAAAGACGAGGAGGATCGCAGACGTAGGAACGAGGAGGATCGAAGACGCAGAGAAGAAGATGATCGAAGACGTAGAGAGGACGAAGAGCGGAGGCGCAGGGATGATAATATAGACCGAGACCGCCGGCGTGATGAGTATCGAGGGGGAGATTCTTACGGTCGAGAAGACAGAGCCGAGCAGTATCTGCGCAGTCCCAGAGACCAGTACCCGCGCAGTCCCAGATACGGTGATGGTGCTGAAGGGTACTGGAGCCCGGGCAACTTTAACTTGAGGGATAGAGAGGACTCCCGCAGTCGATGGGAGTCGGATAGGGACCGCCGAGATGGATATCGAAGCAGTTACGAGCGGACTGAGAGAGATGGCGATCGTAGGGAAGAGCCACGCGGACAGTATGAGAGAGGAGGATATCCTGCGTCGTCGGGGTATCTCAAGTCCCCAAACTACCCTAGATCTCCTGGGCCATCTAACTAGGATGCGAGACGACCGGCGATTAAGTCGGCGGAGGAACGACCCCCTACCCCTAGGAACTCCTGTATCTATTGCAGGGGAGATGATCTCCTCAAGAGAGACTGGCCTGACCTCAAACGGGCAATAGATGAGGGACTTGTCATACTTGATGAACGCCAGTACGTCAAGTGGGCAGATAACCTCGACGATGTATCGATGTTTCCTTCAATGAAGGAAAACGTGGAGGCGAGGCGATTAGTACCGAACAAGGGTAAAGGGGTTGCAAGAACCCAAAGCATGAGACAGAGTCTGTCGTCTGATGGGGAGAATCCTATGACACCCATACGGGTGGCAACGACTAAGTCCGCCAGGGCTTCCTTCTCTAAGAGAGCTGACACTGATCACATAATGGCAGAGAAGGATGGACAGAGGTTTGAAGGAGAAAAAGTTATACTTTCCCCACGTAAACGTGGGGGGAGAAAGTTCACGATGAAGAGTACTCTGGATGACATAGACACGGTCGAACCTCTTAGACGCGCTCTCAGACAGCCTATGCAGTGTACAATCCTACTTGGCAGCTTTGAGGCCAGCACCGGACGAATTGCAAATGATTACGCGTAAGACGCGTACTCCTCTGAGCGACGAGGTCCAAATGACGACCAAACAGGAGGAGATACCCACTGTTGCAGTATCAAGTATGGTCGCTAAGGCGGATAGTGCTGCAACAGTATTCTTCGATGGGATAGAAGGACTGCCTCCTGACAAGTTTTACATTCTAGGCAGTGGGACAATACAGACTTCCCTCAACGACGAGGTGGTCCTTCATTCTGTAATCGATAACCGTAGCGAGGCTGTCATTATAGACGAGGGTCTGGCAGTCCGACTGGGACTAGACCTGGATAGGTCGTATCAATTTGAGATAGAGACCGTTGATGGGAGGAAGCAGAAGGTCGCCAGAGTTTGTTACAAGGCAGCAATCGAGGTCGAAAGACTGAGAGTGATGATGCCTGTTTTCGCAGTTTGGGATTGCAGCGCTGAATTATTATTGGGACGGATATGGCTAAGTCACGTCCATGCTGTTACTATAGAACGGCCGGATGGAAGCCAGATGTTTTCCATCAAGCGTCCAGACGGTGGGCGGATCATGATGGAGACGGTAGAGCCTCGGGATCCGAGGAATAGAGCGGTTCTCACCGCAGGGGGTCGTGTACCAGTTCCCCTTGAGAGTAGATCCCTAAGCTTTCGCGAAAATAAGTATGGGCCTCTGCTTACAGAAGAAGAAGGTCAGATAGTCGAAGTCGAGGATTTAGGGACTCAGGTACGTGTAGGAAGGAACGCCTTTCCTAAGGCAGAAGATGAGGAATTCGGAGGGATAATACCTGTGTCGTTTTTAAGGGCAAAGCCCCCTACGGGGGGCGACCAAAGAGACACAAGACAGTAGCTCAGAAGGTTAAGCCGGCGGCTGTAGCACGAGAACGATTCGCGTTGGATGGAGTATCTGAAGAAGCGATCGTTAGAGAGATTAAAGAAAAGAAGAGGAAGGAGCCGCAACGGCTAACAGAAAAGAGGATAGCGGAGATGGACATAGGCGATGGGAATCTCACTGAGCTGGAAAAAGAGTGAGTGTTGGAAGTCCTTAAGTCTTGCGATAAAGTTATAGCATTCAGTGATGCGGAGAGAGGAAGGATTGATCCTAGATATGCTAAACCGGCGAGGATCTACACAATTCCGCATACACCGTGGAATGACGCAGGGTGGAAATTTGCTCATAAAGAGAAAGAAAAGGTGATCTCCTTTCTCAAAGAGAAGATGGCGTCACACGTAGCTGAGCCTTGTGACAGCGCTTATGCGAACAGATGGTTCTTCTTAAGGAAGCCTAATGGAAAGATTCGGTGGATTCAAGACCTTCAGAAGGTCAACGCTCTGACGATTCGGGATGCAGGCTCCGTACCCCACGCTGATTTGTTAGCAGAAGGAGCGGCAGGCAGATCCATTTATTCTGTCTGCGATTTATTCTCAGGATATGACGAGATACGACTAGATTCGAGAGATAAGCATCTCACAGCCATGCACACAACGCTCGGATTAGTGCAGATGATGGTGGTTCCGATGGGATGGACCAACGGAGTAGCGGTCTTTTAGAGAGCCATGATAGCGGTTCTGAAGGACTTTATCCCTGATAAAGTAGAGGTTTTCCTCGACGACTTTCCGATAAAGGGACCGGTGTTGAAAGATGAGACAAAAGTCGCTACTGGCGTCAGGAGGTTCGTAGAGCAGCATCTGGCGGACATTTACGCTGTCCTGGAGCAGCTAGATGAAGCTTACCTAACAATTAGCGAGACAAAGAGTCGATGGGCCGTATCAACGACTAAGATTCTGGGATTTATATGCGACGCGAAAGGCCGACGACCCGAATCTGGGAAGTTAGAAAAACTGTTGAACTGGCCGACTCCTTTGCACAGTGCAACTGAAGTTCGTCAGTTTTTAGGGGTTGTTGGTTATTGGCGGATTTTTATACGAGGGTATGTGGAAAAAGCGGAACCTCTGCACACACTTCTTAGGAAGACTTAGAAGTTCTAGTGGGATTCTCCTCAAGAGCTAGGAGTGAAGTCCCTCAAGGAAGAATTTAAAGAGGGTGTCAAAATTCTAGGTGTGTCTTTCCTTGAGGACGAGGCGAACAGACCGTTCATAGTGTCTACGGATGCTGGACCATGTTCGGTTGGGGGATTTCTATCTCAGAAGGATGCTGATGGGAAAGAAAGACCATTGAGGTTCGAGAGTCGAACACTCAACACTGCTGAACGCAACAACAGTCAGTTTAACAAGGAAGTGTTGGTTGTTTTACGGTGCTTAGATACCTTTAGGCATTACATATATGGGAGACGATTCGTTCTTAGGGTAGACCCTACAACTGTAGCTTCAGTCCTACAAAAGGATTTCAATCTAACGGATCCTGCGATCGCACAATGGCTCATCAGGATTCGACTTTATGATTATACTGTAGAGAGGATTTCTGGGGTGAAGAACGCTGTAGCCGATGGACTTTCACGGATTCCCATCGAGGCAGAGCAACCGATATCGGTTGCTGCCCTGACAATGGCCGAGCCCAGGCGAACAGATCGCTTCCTAGTCAATTTTTATGAAGGTAAGTACCGCACTATATGGTTGCATCTGTCAGGAGGGGAAAGCACTGATACGGACACCTGGAGGCAGGTGGCGCAGTACTGCCTTAGGGATGGATATTTGTTTTGTCGACCTGTGGGGGGAGGAATGCCTCTTCGGGTGATCTGCGATCAGAAAGAGAAATAGTCCATAGTAGCCGAGTTACATGACGGTGTAGTTAGAGGACATAGAGGAGTAAAGGGTACATATGAGAAAGTTCGTAGACTATATTGGTGGGAAGGATAGTACAAGGACGTTGAAAAGTACTGCGAAACTTGTGAGGACTGCCTGAAGAGGTCCCTTATTAGGTATAAGGAACCACTTCACCCTTCTTATCCCACTAGACCAGGGAAGAAAGTGCATATTGATCTGGTGAAAATGCCGAAGGGTGTAGGGAATATGAACTATGTAGTCAACATGAGGGATGATTTCACTGGCTTCGTCGATGGTAGGCCTATCACGACGAAAGCTGCAAGAGAAGTTAAGAACTTCGTCTTGGAGTATCTGTCTAGATACGGATGTGTTAGTAAGATTGTGATGGATAGAGGAGCAAAGTTCCTAGCCGACGAGGTACGGAGCGGATTCAAGAAAGTTGGAGCTAGAGTATCTATTGCTACTGCCTATCACCCTCAGTCAAATGCACCTGTAGAGCGAGGACACCAGTCATTGATTGCGTCCTTATCCAAGTGGTGTAAAGAGAAGGATAGCAACTGGCCAAAGTATTTCAGGTATGCGATATGGGCGGACAATGTCACTGTCCAAGCTAGCACGGGCTACCCTCCTTACACTCTATGGTTTGGAAGGCACTGTCCCCTGCCCATAGAGTTTCACGTTGACAGTTGGACCACGGTTAACTGGGCAGATAACATGACACGAGAGGAATTACTGGCAGCCCGGACTAGGCAGATAGCTTACGGACTGGAAGACAATCTCATGACTGCGGCCGATCGACTAGCAGTAGAAAGAAAAAAGAACAAAGTGAGATGGGACAAAGACGTCAGAATCAGAAAGGAAAAGATCAAGGTTGGCGACATGGTGCTTCTCTACGACGCCGCTTGGAAAGGACATGGACTGGAAAACTGGCTAATCGATGGATGGGGCCCTATCATGTGGTTGGTGCGTTAAGCTGAGGAGCCTATATGATTGCTGAGCTAGATGGATCAAAGTGGAAGGATCCTATGGCGGGAGTTAGACTGAAGTTGTTCAGGTCAAGGGAGACTCCTACTCCTGCTCCGAGGTCATCAAATGCTAAAGGAAAGGGTAAAATTAAGATAACGGACAGAGGACCGTCAAGACGGTTCGAGGTAGGTGAGAGTTCGAAGAAGAGGAAGAGAGTAGAAACTAGGAAAGTGAAGGGCCTAACGCTGGGTTAGAAAAGGAAATGGGTTTTTGTTCTACAAAGGCCTAAGAGAAAAGTCCGGATTAGGAAGAGTGGCACAATTGTCACACGAGCTCCCCAAAGAAGGAAGAAGCGAGGGCATGTTTCTATGTCGAAGTCCAAAAGACCGCGACATAAGAGAGGGACGAAGCACCCTCTCAGTCCCAGAATTCCTAAGAAACCCAGACGCCAGACATACAAGAGGAGGAACTCGCTTCGAGCGCGAGTGGTCCATTTAGACCTAGTGCGTTTCGTCTGATCTTGGTGGAGCAGGCTCGACGAGGGCGTCGAGAAGAGGTCCAGGCTTGTTTGTCGGGCGACCGGAAGCCAGTCGGTCGCCCTAATACTGGAAGATTGACCCGTAGAAAAGTCGTCTGAGAGGGAATCAACTGGGAGTCTTTTCTGAGCGGCTGGGAGAAATTAGGGGTAGTCAGGTCACCCCTAATTTCGGATGTCTCAACCATCGAGACTAGCCCTCAAAATTGATGAGAGGGACTACCGCTTCGCCGCCCTGACGGCTACCCTATAGTCAGCCTTGTATACGCTCACTCCAAGCCTGTCCCC